GGTATAGAAGACTCTGAAAATGCCATTTCCAACGGTCTAGAGACTCCATATTTTCACATTTTCCCGCTCGGCGCCAACTATGGTGGCGCCTCGTGAACAGTGCTGTAAAAGTTACTCATTTTTTGGAACTAGTTACAGTTACAGTTACATTCCCAAAAAAGGAACTAGTTACTGGTAAAAGTTACACTTAAAAAAATGTAACTAGTTGCCGTTACAAAATTACTTCAATATTTTTGTAACAAGTTACAAGTTACTAACAAATTTTTGTAACTTTATCAAGTAAGAAAAAACCCCAGTTTTTTTCAACTTAACGATTAGTGGTCAGCAGATTGACGTTCATTATTTGTAAACGGTATGTAACCTTACCACTAATGGATCTCTCAGCTGTGTTAAGCACTGACGCATGCGTTGTCGTAGAAAACAGGAGAATTTCGAGAACTGAGAGGTGAATTGTAAGTTTTAACCGCAACGGAATGTAACGAAAAAAGTAACGTAAACGTTGGCTATAAAAGTAACGCGTTATCGTTTCATTTTAGGCGAAAATGTAACTCGTTACAGTTACCTTATTTTTAAAGGTAACTAGTTACCGTTACAGTTACTCAAAAAGTAACGATTACTTGTAATTTCGTTACTTGTAACGAAGTTACTTACAGTTACTTACTTGCACTTCTCGTGGGCCCCCTAAAGCAAAATCTCACGGATGTTTTATTCCCAATGTTGGCAACTATGATAGGGCAGTATGATTAAATGTGGCTTCATTTTATAAGAACTTTAAACGAATGTGCCTTTTGTTATTTGGATGTGGGGGGGGGGGAGGGGTCAAGTATAATTGTGTTTCCTCAAGGGGGGGGGGCAACAAAATTTTAGCATCTAATTTTTCATTTCCACCAGCCCCCCTCCCCTGTAATTAATGACCGGTCCCTTAGTGTGCATCTGGCATGAAATTACAACCACGGCTAGTCAATGTTGACATCCATCGATTCATACTGGCATGTGTTTTGTAGGAAGGTGGTGGAATGACTTATGTTGGTGGGACATTTTATCTGAATATTTTTATTGCTATTGGAGCTTTTGTTTTTGCGAACTTGGTGGTCGCTGTCGTTGTGACAAACCTTGTAAGTGATGGCGAGCACAGACTGAAAACTCGAGAATTCTATCAAAAGCGGGAGAATGCATGGATCAAACGATCAAGTTACAACATTGATTTCAAATCCTTCGTGGAAGCTAGTTTCTTATATTTATAGGATCAACTCATAGATACAGTCTCGGATACAGTATATATTAGTTTTCGTTCTGTCAACAACTTGCTGCATTAGCAATTGTCACTTTCACCGTAATAAGTCACTTGTATCGGTTAGCATAGTAAAACAATTATAAAGACCTCAGTGCACATTCTCTATTTATTTGAGATCTGTATGCAGGCTATGCACTATTACATCGTAGACCGGGGGGGGGGGGGCAGACCGAGCAGTTCAAATACGATTCACTGTAAAGACTACATCCTCGTTGTGGTTAGAACTAGCAGACAAAGATGACGAAAACTTGGATGTTTCACTGGAAAATATAGTGAAATCCATGGCATGGAAATAATTTTTGCAACACTAATTCCTTAGTATATTCACACTACTTCCATATCATATCCCTTGAATGGAAATGCCAAATAGTATATGGATTTCCCTAATATTTCCAACTATTGGAACAATACTATTCTCATAGACATAGTAAGAATTTTAAACATAGGACTTTCCCTCCAAAGTATCATCTAACCAGTCAGTTAACTAACATATCATCCAGAATATTCTGGGAAATTCAGATAAAATCTAAAACTTTGCCAAAGTTTTTGTTTGTATTGAGGACAGTCGCCACTCAATTTAATACAGCATTTACTGGAAAAATATTTGAAAATCCATAGAAGGTCATAGAATGGAAATTGTATGGACCTTTATTGGAAATAGAATGGATTTTGGTTATCATAAAAATTGTATATTTCCATAGTATGGATATAGTATGGAAGTGTTATGGATATACTATGGATTTAGTGGTGCATATTTCGTAGCATGGATTTCACTTTTTTCCCCAGTGATTACTGACGTTTCCAGCAAAGGTTCCTCGTCAGGCGTTAGTGGAGTAGTAGAGTAACTGGAGTTAGCATCCAACTATACTGACAAAGGCACTTCGCTCGAAACGTCAGGAAGTATATATCCATTTCCTGCATTAGAAATGATAGCCGTAGAGACTGTTTCAGCATCTATCCTGCTGCATAACTATCAGTATGGCATTGACTTCTTATCTTCTGATTCATTTCCTATATCTATTTTATTTAGGAATTCGCAATGGTAGATGTGAAGACTGAAGAAAGACATGCACATGAACATGAAATTTTACTGGGAAAATACGAAAACGGTACTGAATAATTTAACTATGCTGGGATATTTTCAAAAACGTTTTGATCATAAATTCCTTGACTGCATGTTTGCATTATGAAAATGATACAATTGTTTTGAGTTTTGTTTTGTGGAAACACCACGTTATTTGCATTGATGACCCGGCTTACACAGACCTCTTGCGAGGTTGTCCGGCTTACGGATCGAAAGCCAAACAATCAAACATGGTGTTTCCACAAAGTCAAACAATTATACAAGATTTTGATCAATGAATATGTGTAATTATTATTTCTTTTCCCAGATAAGGACATCATCACTCCAACCATGAAAGCCGACAATGTTTCTCCATTTGTACTTTTCAATCAAAAATCTTACCAGCTGCCGGTATGATTACGTTATAGAACAGGGGCAGTTGTACGAAGACCGGTTAGCGATATTTTCAAACTTTCTAAAAATTAGGATTAAACTTTAGTATTCAGTATAAATTAAAGTTTCTTTTTATTGTCTGTGCGGCTCATATCCGCAGCTTGTTGAACATTCTTACAACGGTTAAAAAATCCACTGGATAGCACTATCCGGCCTTCGTACGACTACCCCTCGAATATGAAGGCTAGAAGCCTCGCTACAAGTTTGATGATTTACGCCTGTATTTTAAAACTATTCACACTCACACTTAAAGAGTGGAGGTTCAATCTGAATTCGTCTCTTCAGTGTCAATGCTGTTTGTGAAAACTGAAGGGTTAGTGTCGTAACTTACTCTGTGACTACTCACTCTCCAGCTATTCAAAAACAGCACTGACATTGAAGAGAAGCTCAGATTGAACCTCTATTCTTTGAGTGTGAGTGAGCTGTCAGAATACAGGCGTTAGTCGCGTTTCTCGTTTAAGTTCTAACTTGCCATACACAAGTCACCTTCCTGAGAGCTCTTCTCTATTCTGTATATTATTTTTCAAAACTTTGCCATGTTTATTCTTAGGAAATGAGTGATATAAATACTCGAACGGAAGAACTGGAGAATCTTTTCCTTATTCTCGCAGCATTTGAAGATAATCTTGCTCAATACATGCACATCAAGAACCAAGTTATCGAGGCAAGTGTTGTATCGTAATATGTAGAGAGAACACTGAAAAGCGAACAATTTGCAAGACTAATCAATCTCCTACCCAGGTTCTACCCATTAAAATGTGTCGGTAGCCCAAATACATGCTGGCGAACTTCGGGGATTGCTGATTGTCTGTCAGAAATTAACAAGACATTCTCGCAAAGCCAGGTGCATGCATAGCTTCGAAATACACTTTTCATCTGGTTTTCAATTCATTGCATTCCAACTTTATTCTTGTACTGCGGCACAATCGAAATTAATAAGCTTGAAAAACTAGCTATCCGCTGGATAGTGCTATTCCGTCTTCGTTGATTTTCCATATTAGTACCATGAAATAACGTCACAATTAGGATTTTAAGAAAAGGTTAGGTTTGGGATTGCAAGGAATAGTTTCAGGGTCACTCTCCTCCACAGAGGCTTTTTGTTTTGTTTGTTTTTTCAGTAACTCGCAAGCGGGCTAGGAGAAGCCGGAGCGCAGGGAATGACGGGAGGATTTCCTTTCATTTCCTATTTACCCCTCTTCACGAATAATTTACCCTCCTTATCCCGCTTTATACCACGACCAGCAATCCAGCATATAATAAAATATTCCTAGCCAGCCTACATAAACAAAACAAGAAGCCTCTGCGGAGTGTAAAGGTACGTAAACACGGGATGCAATATATCGTCTGATGTTTACTGCAGGTATTTGGGTGTATCTGTGATCTTCATAAAAGAGCGCGACTTGAAGGAATGTTACGTGAAGAGGTGGAAGCACAGGCTGCAGGCGAGGCTGGACATGACAGAGTACTTACTGTATGTGTGTCATTTCATTCAATCAATATTGTTAATACTTAATAAATACACTGTATTTCTTGATGGTTACAAAGCCTGTTGGAAGATTTTTCATGTCAGCAATCTATCACACTATTCATCATGAGCCCTGTAGCCTGAGTATCAGAAAACATGAAGTATCAGGCTGGAACCAACTGCGTGGACTTGCATAAATGTAATCTAATCATGAGAAAATTTATAACGACGATATCATCACTGACATATATGATGGAAACGCTCAAGCCTGTACTGTAGTAAAGTAGAAGTAATCAATATATTTCCTGTTCAAAATAAGACCTTCATTCACGTTACTTATATTTCAGCTTGAAGGAGATATCTTGTCCAACCTGATAGAACTGGAAGAAAATAAATTGATCAGTTCAAAACGTCGTAGTTTAGACAACTTGATTCGTGGTGGTGCTACAGCATTATCCAGTACAGCTTCACACATACCTGCCAGTGTCATCTTGCCTGCTAAACCTCCGCACAACGCACAGCACAAATAAATGACGGCTGCAGGAAATGCTCAACTCAGTTGTGATTTTTTTAGTATGTTTACACTACTTTCTTGTAAACGTTTGTTTGTATATAATTTATTTTTTCGATACGTTATTTCATTAAAATATTCTTTAATTAAAAAAACTGTGGTTCCGGTCACTGACAGATCCGTGGTTCCGGTGTGCCCCCGCCCCGCTATAGTCCTGGGAACGAAATCCACTATCTTCTGTTTCATTCTCGTCCCCAGAGCCATTTTCACTCGGTCCTAGGGAGGACGCACGCGGCCGAGAGGCCCTGGGGACGAGGATGCTTCTGTTTATATCAGTCCAATCTCGTTCCCCGAGAACGAGATTGTTTATATTATCCAGTGACTCAAGTGTACAAGTTAGATTTCTATTCTTTCAGTATAGCGCTTATGCATGCATGTCCTGTGTATTGTCCTGCGTTCATCTGTTTATTTAACAAATATTCATCCCCAAAACAACTGTAGTTTAAGGTTGATGTGCTTTGATTCATTTCTTTATTTGGATCATTTAACATTAAAAAATTCTGGAATGGCTCCCCACGCTGCTTCTGAAATAAATTGATCTATATATCAGTACACGACCAGACCTCGTGTAAACGGAATGGAACTAAATATTTCGATGAAATATTTCGATGAACTGATCGCCATGCCATTGTCTTCTAATTCTCAAGGGATTGATTGCAAGTCAAGAATTGGATGAATGTCTTCATCTTTCACGGCCATTAACATACATGAGAGACTTTCACCCGAGGTTACACCATCAATTTTAATTAATTTTGCAATATGAGATTAATTATATTAAATGCTGTTATATTTTATATGACTGTTATAGTTTTGGTGCTATATAAGTCGGTAGCGGCAGCCAAAACTTTTAAATGCTAATTACAACCGTGATCGTCTTGCTTTCTGGAAGAAAAACTCGCACACGAACCGCGCAGCCAGCATTAGGTTTGGGCGCTATTTCATTTGTTCGGTTTTCGTTGTGCTTAATCAATTTCTTGCTCTATGACTATATAGTATATATATGTAGTTGTCATATTTCTTTCGTTATATCAAATGTTCTTAATGATGATCCGTCTGCCTTTTATATTTACTGTACTTTATATGTATATTTTCTTTCTCATATATTTGAATTTCTACTGTTTTATTCGCAGGTTTCATTATATCAAATATCGTTGAATGACCAATGCTACAAATGAAGCGCTTATCAGATACATTGTGTACATCCTTCTTTAGCTATCCACATGTACATATCACTCATTTCCAATGCAATCATTCATCTCGTATTTTCATTCAATTCCATGATCCAAAGGAAATGTTCACATAAATCTATCCTTTGACCGACTATTTCTCATATTTTGTCCAATGGAAGCATTAATCAAAATATTTCCCATATCAGCTTCATCTATCTCTTCTTCATCAGGTATTTCGAAAGACATCCTTGAATCATTATCAGTGGCAGGATGATATAGTTCTGTAGACTTATATTCTGATTCACCATCAGTCATCGTCTCTATTTCTTCTGATCTTGCAAACATTTGTCTAGCACGACGCCGAAAAAATAACTTGCGAAGTGTTGAATATCCATCGAGGAAAACCCGTATGATATAGTGGATCAGAATCTGAGAAAATGTCGCAAGAAATATACACAGTCCACCAACGTAGGCAAACACTAGCAAAAGAAAAGTAAGGTAATCTATAGTTAATAGGGTAATCAAAGGCCGTTGAGGCCGACTCACGGATAAGATCAAATGAAAGTGACAGAAAGAATTAGAGCAGTCCGCAATTAACCATTTGCGTAATAGACTAAATTTTGATCTAAACAAGTCTAGACAAAAATTTCATCACAGCTTGAAAGAGCATCACAAAATTAGTAATATTGACAGCCCAATACCCTTTGGGGCTGTCAATTTCCCGTTTGTAATCTAAAATGACTGAAAATTGCAAACTTCGCAAGGCTACATTATCCGCATTTTACAACATTTCGCAACGAAACTTTGGAATATTACTAATTTTGTGATGCTCTTTCAAGCTGTGATGAAATTTTTGTCTAGATCAAAATTTAGTCTATTACGCAAGTGGTCAATTGTTTTCAGTCACCCATTTATCATGCTTCTTTTGCCAAATCAAAAGAACGAACGCGTGCCCCAGCCCGATTTCTGGTTCTAAAAGGTCCGATTCGCAGGTAAACAGTGCGCGCAAAGCAGGCTGGTCATTTCCTATTGTTTAACTGCCCCACACTCAAGTAACCACAAAGACTCACAGATGTTGCTTCGCAACATCCCTGAGCCAAAAATGAGACATGGTTGCATGACGTCATGAACCTAGGACCAATATTTTCGACTCATTTAGTGATAGTCTCATAAATAGAAATACTTACATGAAACATCACAACAGGATTTCCACAACTTATTTAATACAATGTATGATAGGTTTGATATTCACTGTTTGAATACTGTGGACACATGCACGTAAAAACGCACAAGTTGTAACAAACCTGCAGCAGACTTGTAGCAATGCTGTTCCAACAACTTGTCAACATTGCTGTTCGCATTGCTTGTTGACAAGAGAACGAATTAGACGTTTTATACTATTTTTATTACAAAACGTCTTATTTACTGTATACATACCAGTTAAAATTGTATATGTTCCAACGTTGTAGTTAAAAATGCAGAATGCTTTCTAGAATAACAAAAAGAAATTGAGTAAATCTTAATACAACCTCAATTCTAACCCTTACGCAATGTTAACCTTGATTTTGAACCGATTGATAATCTTTTGATGTAGATCAGGCACAACTGCCGAGCACAGACAACTTTCCTATACAGCTGGTACTCTACAAACCGTCTTAGGTATAATTTTCACACATAATATAATACCTGTCTTGTTGAATTTCTTGGTGATAGACAATGAAATGATCTATAACGATCTTTTGCAGCACAATGAGCAAATGCGTTAAAATTGCAATCTTGACAGAAATAACATTGAACCTGTAAATAAGAGAATAGCATCGATTAAAGTTTTGTGGCAATCGAAGCCCCTTCCATGCATGGGTGCGTTTGTACAGTAACTATAAATAGACAACAACAAGTACTAAACGATCTCAAAAAATGCATCGACGGCAAAATCGATACATTTGAGATCCTATATAGTTGATATAGTAAAGTAGTCTTATTTAACGAGCTAGCAATGCTGTATTTATTTCTTTGACACTTTGTAAAATTCGAAAAAGATTAACAGATATTTCAACGTTTCAGAGAATTCATAGATATTAATGGAGAATTATGAGTATTCAAACTAACCCTGCCTCTGCCTCTGGACTCTAAAATAAGACGGGCTTACATTTATATATAGTACAGACCTGCCAAGGTTGTTCCCGCTGTCCCGCACGCATAACTAAAATTATCTTAAAGTTACGCATTTTTACCATTATATGACACTATCCCACTTTTCGTACAATAACTCATTGACAACGCTTTGTGCAAACGTAGAATTAGAGTTAACAACGTTAGAATTAGCGTCTGAGAATTAGCGTCAGACGCATCGTGGCCTGCGGTGGCCAAATACGCTTTCTGACGATCTGGAGACTCCAAATTTCCAAAATTTTCTCAATTTTCCTAGCCACATTAAACTGTAAGTAACACTGTCATATTGATCAGTAGTTATTTTAGTTATCTTCATTGTTAAGCAGTAGTAAAACATTGAAATCTTGGGTAGGAAAGACTCTAAAAATGCTATTTCCGACGGTCTAGTGAATTCAAATTTTCAAAATTTTTTGCTCGGCGCCAACCATTGGCGCCTCGTGGGCGATGCAAAATCAGGTGAATTGAAACAATTCAGGCGGTAAATCTAACCTCCCCCCCCCAAAGGCAAAGTCCTCGCAACGGCCCTGGTCACGCATTCTTATCTTCCGAACTTGGCAGGTCTGATAATACGCCGGAGGTGTCCCAATCGTGTTCCCAATACACCTTCATAATGCAGACGTCAAACGCGGATAAACACCTAATGCATGCGATGTCCCACGGGCATTTTTTAGCGACAATTTGTAATGCAAATGATGCTACACGAAATTTGATTGGCAACGATTTGTGCGTTGTTAAAAATTGTCCCGTACAGATAATCGCATTAAGTATTCATTAAGTACTTATCAACGTCATTGTGAAAAGGTGTATTACTCCCTCATCTCTTTCCACGTCCTTGTTACGAAGATACGGTACTATATAACCCGAGTGTATTTGTTGGCGTTGGAAACATAGACAGTGTTTTAAGAATCTTACCATATTTGTTTTTTCACATAGTGTCATAATTTCCTGTTGTGTGTTGAAACACGCCCATGAAATATACAACTTGGAAAACCACAGCAACAGACAAGTGAAACAAACTAAGAAGACTACACTAAAATTCCACGCCAAGTGAACTTTACCAAACGCTTGGATCGTTAAAGACGACTGAAAAAAAAACCACAGCAAAATTTAACAACTTGTTAAGAATATTACGTCTGTGTTTCCTTCGCAAGGATTTAATTCTTCTCTATAGAGGAAACCGTGTATTTCCTGCACGCTGCTGAATTTATTCTGCTTTTTCATCGGCGAAAGCCCATCACGATACATCACGTGACGTATTTATTTGACTTTCAACATTTTGGGTCATGGCAAACGTTTAAGATCGTTTAAATCTATAGCTAATAAAAGCAGCGTTGATTAGCCGTCAAGTTCATTTCTATCGAGCTCCAAATCATTTAACTGGCTGAATGCGAATTCAAAAAGGCCAATTTAGAGAGTGGTTTCTTCTTCTTGCCACCCCAAATCGCGGATTTCTTAGAGTGAGGAAATATTCCCGCGTGACTGCAAGATCTGAAAATCGACCGTATAGCGATGCTAAGAATATTTGAGTGCATTCCATCGTAAACATTTCATCGCAAATTTAATATAAAAATATTGTATGATATCCAGCACTCGTGAAACAACACAGTAACACACTCGTGAACGAATAGTTTTGAACGAAAAATATCATGACAGTTTACGTAGTCAAAAAGCGTGCGCTCGTAAAACAAGTAAGCTCGTCAAGGAAAAGTAACAAGTCCTACTACCTGCAGTAAGTACTTTTAAGTCCTTTGTCATAAGTACTGTTTAAGTCATATGTACATGTACTAGTATAGGTCTTATATATTCTGTAGTGCTCAATGCTCGTGTAGTATTTTAGTCTTGATCCTTTATCGGAGTCAAAGCTAAAAGTACCTTCAATTTGAATGGCATTTTCCGTCTGGTATAAAAGATGACCATGAATATTAATGATACAGACAGTGTTATTGTGAAGACTTGAAGTTCCAAACCACTGGTACGAGAGCTGTAATATCTGCAAGTGATAAATAAATTTAAAATACTCATTAAAAGTTCATAAAACCTTGTGGCAAATCATGTCAGCCATAATATGTCACGTGAAGTGACTTTATATCTGATAAAACTCATCTCATTAGTATTCTTTATATAATTGTTCATCCTAATTAGTATGATTATATAATTGTTCATCCTAATTAGTATTCTTTTGCAGTCATATTTTAAGCTATTCAAAACACTCGTTGTCGTGTTTTATCACATATAAAACGCTCGGTCATGCGCCTCGCGTTTTATATCTGATAAAACACTCCTACTCGTGTTTTAAATAGTACATGTAGGGACTACATATTTTATTTATATCTGTATATGATGTTAAAACAATGTGTGTTGTTTTGTAACACTACTGACTTATAGCCTATTCATGGCTTTCTTGGTTGTAATACTGTTTTAAACGAAATTCAATTCTTTTCTCGTATTGATGTATGTGGTAGTGTATTTGTGTTCGGTTTTTACTTAAATTAAAATAAATATATATATATAGGTAATCGCATGGGGCCGAGTAAAATTAAGGTTTAATTTCACGCGTGTTTTCTGAAACTTTGAAAACACAAGTGCAATTAAACCATAATTTTACGAGGAAACAGAGGGCAAAATTTATTTGTAACTTAATTGTGAACTTGTCAAGTTCTTGAACCTCGTATGTCTCCATGTCTTCGCCGATGTTCCTTAATGCTGGCCATTTCTTAAATGCTCCAACCCATAAATTTGTACTTTTTCCAGTGTACGAGTTTTCACTAGAAGTTTTTAATTCTTCGATAACATCATTATCCGAAACGACAAAGCGAGAAGCCATTGTTTTTATTGCTGTTTAAAACAAGAAACTTCCCGCGCTTGCGTCTCAGCCAATCAGGTACAAGTAATTTTGTCCTGAATTAAGAAAAAATGCCCTCATCATTAGCCAATCATATTTTGAGTAATTTTGCCTTCTATATGATTAGTATATAGTAATTGCACTAATAAGACGTACTTAGTCTCAGGTATATTACTACAGAAATGTAATAAGATGAAAACTCACTTCCATGAAAACATTTCTTGTGCCCAGTAATTGACGGCAAAGAAGCAAACAAGATTTAGAATCATGCTTGCAGTCAGTAGCCATGATAATCCTTGAAATCGTAACCAACAACCCACCGCAAAATATGCCTATATACAAGAAAATATGGGATTCTCGTTTGTTGTAGTGTTGATCAGGGTAAAAAATCTGGTAAGAATTAGGTAAAATTCAAGTTTAAATTTTGATATTTTCAGTGAAATGATAATCATTTTTGCGAATTTGCTTTAGAAAACGCCAGAAGTATGACAGTGGAAATCAGAAGTATGACAATCAGAAAAAGCTATATTATAATTATTGCACTCCAGGTAAATTTTTAACATTGAAGTTCAAATTTTAGTAAATCTCTGTGTTGACTATACTGTACCTTTGACCTTATTTGTCCTTACTTGTAAAGTTAATAAAACAATAAAATGATCTACGCAGTTCATACTTCAGTTTCAGTACCAAACAAGTCATTTCCTGCCTGCCTCCTCCCCAGGCCGCTCGCTGCATCATGGAAAGGTCACAAAAGGTCACACACAAATCTGCAGATTTTCTGTGACCTTCCCATAAAGTAGGAGGCTGAGGAGGAGGAAGACCTAATTAAATTCGTCGTTGGAAAGGAAATTAAATTTCGATATGTTTATAATAATCGTTTGAATACGTTATACAGTTTAATGTGGTTTACTGTCGTTCCAATTGAAGTGTTCCTCAAATATTGATTCAATACATTACCTCAGGCTGACCAATTCATTTCATCAAGTTCCTCGAGATATTCATAGACTTCCTATGAAAGAGCCAATTCCAAGAATTTGATCATTTCTGGTCACTTCCTTTCTATCTATGATTGGTTAGTTGCACAAACAGCAAAGGTGATTGGTGCATTCAAACTATTCAACAGGAAGTTTACAATTATACTAGGAAGTGTATGAATATCTCGAGGAACTTGATCAAATGAATTGGTCAGCTCGAGGTAATGTATTGAATCAATATTTGAGGAACACTTCAATTGGAACGACAGTAATACTAACCAGAATCATAAGAAATAATGGGAGATCCATAAGTCGAAGAACATGCTGCAATATAAGGAAGTTTGATCAAACTTAATTATGATCTAAGTTAATATTAATGTTAATAAGTAATGAAATTGCGTGCTTTTAAGCTTGACATGTCATACCGGCTATGAAGATAGTTTTTCCGTTTTTCTAATGTGTGAACAAAGTGTTTTACAAACCGAGGTCTATACAGGATGTCCCCCAAGAGTTTTAGACAGATATAGCTATTAGTGAGCATCGAAAATTCAATCCAAGAGATGAATTTTGACACTAAGATTATTGGTCTGTGGAAGCAATATCTTGGTTGTTTAATAAAGTAAAGGGTCATCAAACCTGTATTGATACAACCATAGCCTATCAAAGGGAAGATGGTTGTGAAACTCGTGTAGAATAACAATATAACTCATTATCTATGTTAGTCAACTGCCTCGTCCCCATGCGCTATAAAAGATTTCACATACGAGTCACTATATATAAAAGGTTTACATGAAGTAGTGCATCGCGACGAACAAGCGCAGGGGTTTATGGGGTTGAGGTACTCGTATCCCATCCCCCTTTGCGCGCCTATAATGACGCGCTACTTCATGTAAACCTTTTATATGGTGACTCGTGTATGTGAAATCGTTTTATAGCGCCTGGGGACGAGGCATGTTACAATTTAATTTAATTTAATTTAATTTAATTTATAAACTTTGCCGATGAAACCAGGGCTTGCAAAATTTTGAAAAAAGTGGTTGCCCTTGGGGCAGGCAACCCTCACAATTTGGTTGCCCGAGGCCATTTCTCACTTGCCCACATTAAATTAGATAAAAATAAAAGAATGAAGTTATGAACCACAACAAAACCGGTGTTTATTTAATTGTTAACAAGTTACAACTACTACAGCTGTGTTACAAGTAACGAGTACTCAATTTAGTCAATTGTATTCTTCTGAGGAATCTCCTTCTCGTGAGTGAGGAGTCTTTTTCTTGCGAGGAGTCTGTTTCTCTTGCGAGGAATCTCCTTGTAAAGAGTTTCGTTCTTGTGATGAGTCTTTTTCTTGCGAGGAGTCTCCTTGTAAAGAGTTTCCTTCTCGTGAGGAATCTCCTTCTCGTGAGGAGTCTTTTTCTTGCGAGGAGTCCGTTTTTCTTGCGAGGAGTCTCCTTGCAAAGAGTTTCCTTCTTGTGAGGACTCTTCTTCTTCTTCTTGTGACAAGTATTCTTCTTGTGAGGAATCTTCTTTGTCTTCTTCCAACAACTCCTCCTTTGTGCGCTTTGGAGTCTTATGTTCCAGGTACAGTGTCATATACAGTACAGATATACTCACAGTACCTTTTGCTGAGAAGAACCAATATTCCACTGCTTTATCAGGCGAGTACTCACTCACTTCACATCCGTCGGAAGAGAGTTGAATGAGATCATTTTGAATGTCATTCTTCAAACATGTTCTTTGAGAATTTTTTACACGGTTCATGCAGAAGAATTCCTTTTTACGGGAGGCAGTATAGACGAGCTGAAAGTTAACAGCAATTGAACCAAAACAAGTACATGTGACTCAGATGTTGTAGACTCTCTCTGATTAAATCACCGTACAAATCAAGACGATGACTACTGCCTCTGTGTGCTGACATCCAAATTTTGAAATCAGTCCACTCGTCTGGGATTTTTTGAGTTTCCTCTTCACTCAGAACAGCTGCAAAATGCTCAACGAGATTCTCAAGTTCTTCATCACCATAAACTGCAATTTCCTCTCTATCATGTGGCAATTGTAGATATGTCAAATATCTCAAAACAAGACAACGGGTTTTTGCCTAACCGTGTGTCAAGATAAGCCACCGCGTCTTCAATTAAATTTAATTGATCAAAATCAGGTTCTGAAATTTCAAACGACAAAAGGAACAATGCCTGGTACTTGTGGCTGTTGTGCTTCTTTGCTAGCTTGCATGTGCTTTCGATCTTGCATGAGCTTTGATCCAACTCTTTCGAAAGGTGCTTGTACTCTTATAAAACGGACTTTCTTTATCTGCATGGGTAGGAAATCCTACGCAAAGATGACGAATCATTACATTTTGAACTTCATTGAAATCAAGCCACGTGAATTCCTTTGACCAAGATGGGACAAATTGCCGTTTTATTTATTTTTTGTTTTTGTAATCTTTCTTACCTGTAGCCGAAGTTTGCCGTTTTTCAGTCATTTTGTATTACAAATAGGAAATTGATAATCAGTTTGATCATCTGATTATCAATTTCCCGTTTGTAATGCAAAATGACTGAAAAACGGCAAACTTCGCAAGGCTATATTATCCGCATTTTACAACATTTCGCAACGAAACTTCGGAATATTACTACTTTTGTGATGCTCTTTCAAGCTGTGATGAAATTTTTGTCCAGGCATATCTAGATCAAAATTTCACTCATAAGGGGAAAGGTCTACTGGAGACATCATTTGTCTCTCAACAAATCGGAAAATGACAGATAGTGACTCTGATTGATTCACATATTGTATTTACATACGCTTTTTAGTCTCCAATATTTCAGTGGGTCATGCTTTGGAAATGACAATAATTTTTTATTACCCAACCCTTGAGTTGTTTTGTTCTTCATTTACCCAACCTTTTACTTACTCAAAATTTAGTTTACCCAACCATTTTCTCTTCGGTGCCACCCCCCGCCAAAAATGACCGCTCCCGCAGTTGGGCAAAAATACAATACGCACGTGACGTTGAAGGACCAGATTATTTTATGAATAAACATTGACTAACATAGATAATGAGTTATATTGTTATTCAAATGAGTTTCACAGCCATCTTCCCTTCGACATGCTATGACACAACTGATGCATGATTTCATTGTCAGATCCATTGGGTGAACTAGACTTTATTTAGTCATAACATGGCTTCTACTACTTTAATAATCTTAGTGTCCAAATTCATCTCTTAGATTACATTTTGGATGCCAACTAATAATTGGCTGTTTAGAAAACTGGAACATATCTAAAGAATTTTTCCATGACACCCTGTATAGTATAATTAGAGAACTAAACACGCGAGATTTTAGTCACACCAGATGCAGTGACAATCAATCACGTCTTAATTAAATCAATGGTATACCATTCTTGATTTCAAGATGAAATGCTGAAAACCCCAGGAAGTGTGAAAATGTCAAGGAGAAAGAACACGTTTCAATATTTAACAATTATTCGCCGAAGGCGAGGTGAATATCGCTGAATAAAAACCGAGACGAAGTCGAGGTTTTTATTCAGCGATATTCACCGAGCCTGAGGCGAATAATTGTTTTAGTATAATTACAAAGGTGATTATTTGAAAAAAATAATATAACACATCTCAATTTTTTGAAAATCGTTTAATTAAATTCATAAAGAAAGCGGTATGCGCAATGAAGGCGCTCGTATCGCCATCAAGATTCAAGGATGTTTTTTGTAGTAATTCCTATCACTTTTTCTTACAGAAAGGTATAGAATTTTGATAAAAATTCGGTTCATTTCGTCAATACTCATGTCTTCAAACTCATTTGTGAATTCTGACTGTTGTTGAAACCAATCTGTAGAAAATATATTTTTACAAACGTAAACAAATGTCTAGACAATTCACAATTGTACGGCAATTTAAAATAAAACGATGTTTTATGCGAAATAAAGTTAGGCAGATTTCTGCAACTTAGTTTCCTACCTCGAAATAATTTTAAGCCAAATTTTGTCTCTTCTTTCGTGCTCTTAGGTACAGCATTTTCTTTAAAATTACTTGTTTCTTTATCTGTCACTTTGGCAAAACAACTCGCCGCCATTTTGAAAAAACCGCTTAGGTGATTATCGCGTAATAATCCGAGGTCGCTTGACCAATCAGCGGCCACAATTTTCGATAATCACCTTTGTAATTATACTAAAACTGAATATTCACTCTCAAACTTTAACCCATTGAGTCGCATTGCCCCACACTATTTTACTCTGTCTAACGCCAGACGATTTTACTTGTCAAGGGGAGAGTGCTGGCACTTAATGTGTCAACTGTCTCTTTTTCTTCAAACCCACTCATGCAGACCCCAAGTGCATTATTAGAGTGTGAGCAGACGTTATTTGGGTTGGGGCTGTATTTTTGTCAGAATTCTTCCATAGCTGTAAACAATGTTGTGCTCAATCATATGTAACAGAAGGAATTCAACATACGGATTCATTCGTCACTCTTGGGTCATTCTGTAAAAAATAGTACAAAATGTGATAAGTTCCATGTATGCAAGCATGGCGATCATGATATACATAGAGCATCTTTACATGTAGCTTTGTTTTGACGATAATGAGCAATAAAGCTTTCAATCCATTCTGAAACTTTATTAGTGCAAATTGGGTAAATGTCCAATAAGGTCTCAGGTGCATACCTAGGGGTCTGTTCAAGGCATGTTTAAGGGTACGGAGGAGAAGGTGGGGGTAATTGGAGAAGAGAGCATGCTGAACTAGCTGAGACGCAGTGATTATAAAAACAATAAATTCACTTAGACCAATAATTATAATAAATCTAATCAGTCATCAGTAGAACAAATTCTTGAATGTTGTGTCCCAGTCACCCAGTGTATAGGTAGCAAGCAATACAATTTGTGGGCTTGTGTGTATGGATATTAAACTGAATATATGTATGAATATTAAACTGTATGAATATTAAAAGCTGGGATGAACTTACTGGGGGTGCATGGGGATATGCATCCCTCCTAGTCCTCCTAGTCTAGTCTAGTGAAATACCAATTGGCATTACCTTAGTATATATACATGAACTCTGTAGCTCAGTTGATTAGAGTGCTGCACTGGAACCACAGGGCCACAGGTTTGATTCCTCAGCAAGACGGCCTATATTTTACACAACTAAACTGCTCCTAGTTAGGTCCAATAATTGTGTAAAATTTACACTCAAAATTTCCATCAACAAAACCCTTGTACAACAACTAGTTCTGTCGAGTCAGATGCCCAAAATGCTGATATTGACCAAGACTTATAGGAATGTATATTTCCAAATGCAATTCTATATTTTCGTGTACAAGTTCACTTATTTACATCTGTCAGGAAGAGAAAACAGCCAACAAAATATTTATTGCGTACCAAGCTTTATATTGATATACATTGGACTTTCACAGATTATAAAGGATTATATATATTATCCATTTAATATTCACCTTTAATAAAATGGCAGCAAGGTGGTTGTCACTAAATAGTGTTTTGGATTCTGTCTCAAATAAGACTATTACAAAAAAGATATGTCCAAAAGGGCTGAACTTATGTTTGGCAAAATGTATGCTAATGGCTACCGTAGTTTACATTGTTCCTTAAAATGAAATTTGATATAGCTTGACCTCTTAAAGGTCATAAATAGCCATATATATTGTGGACATTTGACTAAAACTATCTTTAGGAATTAGGAGATTTTGTTTTGCTGAATCGAATGGTAGTATTTTTGTCTTCATAACATGCACTGAACCGAAGATATGAACCTTGCAAAGTCAGAATTGAGAGATAGTGAAGACAAAAAATCCTACTGTATACAAATTGTTTACCATGCACACAAGATTCTGGTCTCTGACCAGCTCGTCGCGCACAGAATTCTGGTCGCCGACCACAATGCCTAGTGGCAAGTTTTCTTAAAAAAAGCACAACTGCATGATTTAGGTCTGCTGCTATACACTGTACTCACTTGCTTAAGGCTCGCTCGCTGTGGCAGCAATTATGCCTGCTACTGATCGGTGGGAGATGGATTCGGTTCCAGGTTATGGTGGGCTGGGTTGTCTTATCCCCCCATACAACCATGCAAGGAATCATAGATACTTCCTCAAACAATGGAACCTCTTCCATCCTCATCGATGACAAGGGCCATTCCATTTAATATAGGCTGGATCGATATACCGGATATATCCGATATACCGGTATTTGTTTAGATACCGGTTTGGCGATATTGACAATTTAAAAATACCGATATACCGACATTTCGGTATTTTGCTGCCTAATACCGAAATGAAACGCTCTTTCAAGTCAAACTTGCTTATAATCACGTTTAGAAAGCAAAGTTAATACTCACAGATGCATGATTTTGTTCTTACAGTTCTAGCGGCTTTGGTTTAGCAATACCAGACGTCTTGTTTATTAAATCGACTTAATCGGAAATATAAAAATGGCGAAATTTTTAAAGGAAAATTTCGACAAAAAAGAAAACTTTGATTTTGGAAGGTGGAAGTACTAGCATTTGCGAAGAAGCGTAAACCTTTTCTGGCTTTTCTAGTTTTTTTACATGCTTGCTAACTTGTTTATGTGTTAGTTTTAAAAATGCAACGTTTTTTATGTTTATAACTATTAGCACCTTACTGAAACACTATCTGAATTTATATACAAAACAAATATTTTTCTGAATGATTCAACACTTCGACGCCCAATCAACGGCCTACTAATAATCAGGGCTCGAAACTTGAAATTTTTGTCAGTATCCAAGTGGATACCAGCATCATAGAATCTAGTATCCATCCTTGAAATACAGTAACCCAGATATGGATACTAGATATTCTATTTCCAGTATTTAAGCAAGGCAAAATTTTACCTTGCAACTAGGCCTTCAGTTGCTGAGCAAAAACCAGGCCTTTAGTTTCAATAATAAAAATATGTATTGAAATTCGAAAAAATTGAAAATAACACACTGCGGCGATACGAAAGAAAGCACCGTTTGTGAAATGTTTTTTTTTTTAAATATTCTGCCAAAATCCGTAGACATTGAAGTTCGGAAACATGCCAAATGTCTAGATGATTATCTACTATCGCAATTTCTAAGTTTTCCTAGTATCCAATTGGGATACTGAGCTTATGATACCCAGTATCCAAAATTAAAATCTGATATCCTGTGGATATCGGGATACCGCAAGTTTCGAGCCCTGATAATTGCCGCTTAGCGCTGTTAATTGTTAACATAGCTTGATAATGCGAATCTTGTGACATTTGCACTAATAACAGTATGTGCCACATTAATATTTTGTCAAAACTTGATTTTTCTTGACGGTCAGCACTTCAGTTTGGCTTAAAAAAAAACACGTTAAAAATACCGGTATTTACCGGTATTCTGATGGCGGTATATCGGTATTCGGTATTTGCGATATCAATCCAGCCTAATTTAATATATACACACACACCCTATGGACGGGAATTTCTGAGGGGGGTTGAAAAGGCCGTTTCTGAGGGGTTGTGTGCATCAGCATCCTTTGATCTTTGTGTTTTTTCTGAGGGGTAAGGCAAAAATTTCTTAATTTCTGGGGGGTATTTGTGTTGGCACTTTGATATTTTTTTCTTAGGGGTTCAAATTTTATCGAACTTGTCCATGGGGGGGGGGGTTACATTAAATGGAATGGCCCCAAATCAACCTGTCTGCACAGGGAAGTGTACTCTATGTACTAAACCGAATTGCTCCCTAAAGGTCCCCAAACCTGACACGAACAAACAATACACAGAATAACCCCCAATAACCCGGAAACAGCTCCGGAGCACTACAACCCAAGTGGAAAGGGTGGGGTAGACACCTGAAAAGCAACTGCCGCCAATAACTTTAACAGAAACGAGAAGACATGCCGTACTTGGGAGGGAGGGTGGGAAAAATGTTGAGAGCAACTAAAAGGCAGGCTTCTAATTCACCAGCTATTTTATACGCTTGGTTACCATGCAAAGATCTGTCCCGGACAAACTGCCGACACATCACTCAAAGGAGCGAATCAGCCCACACTGTCGTACGCTGAAATGAAATTCCAATATTATAATATTGAATATATCATAATAGCATATAAACAGAGGCACAAATGCAATTTCCAATGGCATAATCCAATACTGTACATGAATTTTGGCAGATATCACCTCATAGATAAGCACGTAGTATAAATTATGTATTATAAATACCTGAAACAAATCTTCTGGCAATTGTTTTTGCGAGGCCTTTGCATCGCCATAACCATCAAAATATGGAGGGTTGCTCACAAACTCCACCAAACCAAATATTAAAAATCCAAATGCAATAAGAATATGCACAGTTTGAAAAGTTCTATTGACCAGCCGCTGTCGATAAGATATGTCTATCTCCATATTTTACATGAGCAAATCATAGTCAAATCAGTGCCTTTTATTCTGTGACCAGAGCTCTGATCAGAACGTCAAATAGTACGCACTTCCTGTTTTGTGTAACTAATTTATTCATGAATATTTTAATTAAATTACCGAAAATATAACCGAGATCCAGGGGCGGCGCTAAAGGGGATGTGGGGATGACCCCCCCCCCCAGTTGTCAAATAGGCAAAATACTGAATCCCGATCGGCAAATTGTTTTTGTAGTCGGAAAACATGAATTTGATAGGAAAAAATTTCGTGAAATAGATTACTGAAAATAAATAATTATAGCTAAAATTCTGAGAGAAAAAGTTAACATTAAGATCACCCCCCCCCCACCCGATGAGACCTTCACCCCCGCTCGCCAACAGTGTTGGGGTTTACATGAATATGCGGAGTGCCGGAGCGCGGACGGCGGAGTGAATTTGCAGAAAGTTGAATTTGCGGAGTGTTGAATTTGCGGAAGTTAAATTTGCGGAGTGTTGAATTTGAGGAAAGTTGAAAATACGGAGGATTGAATTTGCGGAATGTTGAAAATTTGGAGTGTTGTCCAAACCAAACGATGCCTACAGAAACAACTTTCCGAACATAATAAACTATGAATACGTGCAACACATCATAAGCTGACACCATGCATATGTTTAACACACGTCCTACGAATACCACGCCAATAATCTCAAACCTAATTTGTGACAATGTACAAGTACTTCACACAGGGACATCAACATTGGGGAATTGTTGTCATGTTTTGACCAACATTTAATAGAATTTTGACCAAGTTGTAAAAATATTTTCCGAAAAATTTTCCGGACTAATATAAGCATATTTAAAAAATTTTCGACCAAAATAAGGGTAAAAAATTTTTTTTCAATTAAATTAAAATTAAATACATGATTTTTGCCAAGTTCAAAATATTGTTCAGTCTTTTTGTGTTCCACTATAACAAATGAATTGATCTATTTCATTATGGGTTAAATCTATGTCTTGAATTTTGACCTATTTTTTTAATTGAAACAACAGCATGCATCCAATGAAAAGGTGTCAGACCAATGACGTTAACCAAGTTTATTGATTGTTATAACTTGAATTCAAACACTCATTAATAATTTATAAGCTTATTGGCAAATCATGTCAACTATAATATGTCACGTGCAGTGGCTTTAAACCTCATGATCATGTGATAAAACACTCCTAACTAGGATTCTTTATATAAAGAATACTAATAAGGCAGTATCTATTGAAGTCGTGTCCTCGTTAGTATTCTTTATATAAAGAATACTAATAAGGCAGTATATCTATTGAATTTGTAGTCGTGTTTGAAGCCGTTTAATAAACTCGCAGGTCGTGTTTTATTTGGTCTAATGCCACTCGCGCTGCGCGCTCCTAATAAAACACTCCTGGGGCCGGTTGATCAAAGGTGGATTAGCGGTAACCCTGGGTTAAAAATTTAACCTGCTGTTTTAGTTTGTGTATTTATACACGTTTGTTTATTTCAAAACTTCAGAGAAGTAACTCCGGACGATCCAAGCAACATCTCTGAAGAAATATTTCCAAATTTATGGACAAGCAGTCAGGAAGTTTGTTTTGAATTTTAGGTTAATCTAACCCAGCTTTGAACAAGCGGCCCTTGCTCGTTTATTAAACAGTACTTCAAAAACTCATTAATAATTCACGTAGCAATTATCCAATCTTGAGTAAGAAATTAGTCACGTGCATACATCTTTATACCAGCTAAAGAACACTTTAACAAAAGACCATTGTTATGCAAACTATATAAAGATTTTTATATAAAGATTTTTATATAAAGATTTGACTTATTATGCAAACGTTTTTGAAGCCATTTAAAAAACTCGCAGGTCGTGTTTTATTAGGTTTAAAGCAGGGCGCTTATATAGAAGCTTATATATCTATATAAGCGCCCTGGTCTAAAGCCACTCGCGCGCTGCGCGCTCGTGGCTTTTAAACCTAATAGAACACTCCTGCTCGGTTTTTAAACAGTAGTATATAGTACATAACGTACTATATTAATTGTGAAACTCATTAATAGTTCATGATTGAAGAACACACAAAAGAAATCATGAGCGTGAATTAGGAGGTTGTATATATCTAATCATGCTGATTTAAATAACTTTAAATTTATATAATTTTCTCACCAAATATCATTTTATTTTAAACTTGTTGAAGAATACGAATGTTCTCATCGAGATGTTTCACAAGTGTGTTGTACCAGGTCTATCAGACATACACTGATCTCTCGCCTTCGGCTCGAGTTTGTATATCTAATCTGATACAAACATAGCCTGAGTGTCAGACGAATAACGAATTATATTCGTTATTCGTCTGACACTCAGGCTATGGCGCTATGCAGAGTGTGTCCGCAAGCTGAAACTGACTTGGACATTCAGAGAGCAACATCATGAATATTACAAGAAAAACCAAGAGAGAGTGAATCCCAGCCGCAAACTTTAACAAAGGCAATAACATTCAGTACGGACTCTTTAAAAACGAACGTTGAGCTCACTTTTTAGACAGACTCTCTACTCCCCACTCTGACTCTGTACTCTGTTTTTTCCACCATACCTGACAACTCCTAGCCTCCGTAACGCAGACCGTTAGACAAATCCAGACATTGGTCATTATTTTTCTTTATAAGGAAATTGAATCCGGAGGGTGTGCAGGCTGGTGTTTGGTTAGGATAAAGACTCCCCGAGATTACCGTTGGGTGTTGAAAGTGGACTAGATTGATGATCTTGTAATCAGGGGCGTAGGAAGCGGGGGGCACGGGGGGCACGTGCCCCCCAAATTTTTTTAAAGGACTAAAAGTGCCCTTTTTTGTGATAAAAAGTGCCCTTTTTGTGTTGAAAAGTGCCCTTTTTTGTGAGGAAAAGTGCCCCTTTTGTAGAAGCTAATGTCGCTGTAAATACTAAATTAAAACAATAGGTTCCGTTTTTGTGTGGAAATTTACAATTTTGTTTTAAAAATTAGGTCACAAACATAAATTTCGGTATGATACGACGGAAAATTTTCCTCAGGAGAAATTTCTCCCCCCCCCGTCGACAATATTTCCGGGAAAATTTTTTTAGGTGCCCTTTCCAATAGTAATGTGCCCCTACAAGCCGGTGCCCCCCAAACTCCAGGTGCTTCCTACGCCCCTGCTTGTAATATTCTTATTATCTAAAACAACAAAAATAGCCAAAATCTACAACGTACAGTTTAGATCGCCAGAAAGGAACTTGTAATTTTTAACGAGCATTTTATATTTCATTTGACCATTTGCGCTGCTGACGGTCTGTGGTCCTAGTCGAAAAGTAGAAAATTTTTTTTGAAAGTTCAATTCTTACAGTTTTTTGTCGCATTTACTACAGGGACAACATTTACAGCTTTAATTATTCACGTCTGCTGACGTCACACATGACACCATCTCGAGGAGTAATGTTGATTCTTGCTTTTTTCCTCAGTTTGACCAGGCAGACTGGGAAGTAAAGACTCAGTGGCAGTAATCTAAACTGAAACGTTCCGCAGCAATTTTGCACTGAATAATAACTTTTGATTCAAACTTTGCAAAAGTCTGTCCGACGTAGTAATTACGAGGGCCAAATGAAAAGGGGAAATAAGTCATACTAAAGTTTGTCATGTTTTCAGCATCAGAAAATCTTTCTGGGTCAAATACCAATTCAGGATCTTTCCAAATGTTTGGGTTCCTTCCAACAAAGAGTTGTACACTGTTAATACTGAGCGACTGTGATATCTTTTCCAAAGATTCTTGAAGGTGCTTGTACAACAGGATATTTTCTTAAAGTTTCCTCTAAAACTTGGCCAAGATATTTCAGTTTTGCCATATCATCAAAATCAATATCATCACGATCACCGAGCACTTCATTAACTTCATTTAAAAGTTCACGCGGCTAAAAACTGTGACAGCCATTTCAGAATGCATGATAGGTACATATTCACTTTTAGTATACTTGAATGTAAAGTTTTCCCCGAAACGCTTGTTTCTATTGTAAGTTTGCATTTTGACCAATCTCGTACCCAGAGCAATGCCTGCGCGTGGGCTAGGATGAAATTGACAACCGGAACCCCTAAATTTAGGGGTTCCGGTGTGACGCGAAATTCCTGAATTGTGAAATATCTGACTATTGTAGAACTGCCCATGCGCAGACGATGTGCATGAATGACTTTGGCTCATAAATTTCGCAACTCAACAGACAACACGTGTATTTATAAAGCATTACTATAAGCACCAAAATTTGTTTCGCGTTTGACCTTCTCAATTGTCACGATTTCAACGGTACAATGAGTTTGTGAGTTGCCGAGTTGGCCGTTTAGATTTGGCGATGTCTATATTAGAAACATTTGTGGTAACATCGCATATGGACTTAAAAATCGTTTCGACCGATTGTATTTAGCAAACGTCGTGTATTTCGCGGTCACGACCACACAATTCGCTTTCGGAAATTTAAAGTGTTTATGATTGAAACTTAGCGATGTCGAGTTGAAATATTTAACGAAGTATTAGCAATTAACATATCATGATTATTTTATCTAAACTCTAAAAAACAGTTTTGGCCGACATAGAATTTAGCAAGCGTCATGTATTTCGCGCCTGCACGCGCGAAATTTCTGACCCGTTATGGCTTGGTCAGGTATTTCGCAGAGGTCAGGAATTTCGCTTGACACCGGTTCTTTGTCGGCATGCACGATTGATAAACGTTAAACCAATCACAGCACAGGAAAAAATCAATTTTCCCAGAGCCAATGCCTTCTAGCCCGCGCACAGGCATTGCTCTGGGTACGAGATTGACGTTTGACTTGACATTTTCTACGTCAATTTTCAAGTATAAAACGTGAATGAGTTACTACAGTGTCAGTGAGTTTGACGTGGTTTGACGTGGTTTGACGTGGTTTGACGTCTGATATTTTCATTTGACCATGTGGTGACGTCTGGACAAGTTGTTGACGTCACGTTGTGCGTGCGATAAAAATAGATATGAAATGAATAAACAGAGTCCTAAAAACTGATGACATAGATTTAAATGTTAACATTAGGAAATATTCGTTAAAAAAACTATCGCCCATTGGTTTTCCTTTACTGCAACTGACAAATAAAATTTAAAATTTATCCGCTGTCCTAATAATAGTCTCCTTCGTCTGAAACACAGGGAATGGAATGTGCAGTTCAGTTGCGAAAGAGAGTTAGGAGACTATATATTAGGGCAGCGGATTCCTCATGCATGTTTTTAAATCCATGTCATTTTTATAGGACTCTGTTTAACTCATTTCATATCTATTTTTGTCAAGTTGTCAGACGTCAAGTACGTCACACGTGGTGGAACGAAAATATCAGACGTCAAGCTCACTGTAGTTCATTCACGTTTTATATACTTGACAATTGACGTAGAAAATGTCAAGTCAAACGTCAGATGCAAAACATGAGAAACTCAAGGAAACATTAAGGAAATATCCTGTTGTATAAGCTCGTCCTAACACATGCATGGGTCACATAGTCTAATAACTGCATGTATAGCATGTGCAGCCCAGCAAATATATGTATTCATGCACTTAAATTAAAATGGGTTAATAAACGCTTAAAATGCGTATAAAGGGATTTACTCATTTATTGTGTTGCTCATTATGCATGCATGCAGATTCGGATGTTTTAACATCCGAATCTGCATGCATGCATAATGAGCAACACAATAAATGAGTAAATCCCTTTATACGCATTTTAAGCGTTTATTAACCCATTTTAATTTAAGTGACTTAAAAGTCATTGTATATAAAGATCGGCTGCTATTAACAGGGTTACTTCCTCTGTGCTACTGCATGACACGAGTACCTGCATGTATTTGGTATATTTCTTCAAAGCTCTGAAGTCAAATGATCCAAACATTGTTGTGAAGTCTAGTGGTCGTGTCACGAGACACAATGCAACTAAAAATATTTTAACTAACGTCCCTAGAGTAACCACTTTAACTTTTCAAAATAGCTATTTTAATAGAGCTCCTAGAACATATAACTGCTTGCCGTCTTACATCCGTGACGCTGACGTCACAATTGGGCAATTCAAATCATATACTTATATATGACATTAATGTACCACAATCGTTTAAAACTGTCGAGCCTTGCAGATAAAATGTGTTGTAATTGATGTAAATGTTTAGTTTAAGGGACCCTGTGAATGGGGAAATAAGCCCTGTAGGGATCACCAGTCATTTATGACAAAGCTAGTAAATAAAATACTGTCATATACTGTCATATATATATATATATATATATATATATATATATATATATATATATATATATATATATATATATATATATATATATATATATATATATATATATATATATATATATATATATATATATATATATATGTATATATATATATATATACCCTGATGAAAAAATCATGCGTACAGCGCAGGTTTAGATAAAATTCCTATATTTCCTTTTATTTTTTTGTGATATAATCAATTTGGGATTTCCAATTTAAATTAGAATCAATAAAGTATACCAAGATACTTAATACAATTTTCCCGTCTTAAGATTTTATCATACATAATTAGTTGCAAATTTGTATTTAGTAAAATAACATTGTTAGATTTGTCTATATATATTGAGTAAAAGTTTATTTGCACATAACCAATCATGTATACTGGACAGTTCTTTGTTTATATTGGTTTGTAATATATCTAACTTTTTATGTTTATAAAATAAATTTGCATCATCAGCGAATAAATAAAATTCAAAGAGATTAGAACAAATGTGAAAATCATTTATATATAAAATAAAAAGTAACGGATGAAGCACTGATCCTTGAGGGACACCACATGTTTGACGTAGTATAATTAACTGTAACAGTTTACGGTACGAGGAAAACCAATTATTAGGAATACCTCTTACACCATAATATTCTAATTTCTTAATTAAAATTGCATGGTTAACTGTATCAAATGCTTTGCTAAGATCTAAAAATATTCCACAGGAAAATTCTTTCCCATCAATTGCTCTTTGAATTTTATCAACTATGTTTAGAATTGCATATTCAGTTGAATATTTATTACGAAAGCCAAACTGTTTATCAAAGGAAATGTTATTTTTCTCAAGAAAGTCCAGAAGACTTATACTAACCAATTCTTCCAAGACCTTATTAAAAATTGATAGCAAAGAAATTGGACGATAATTGCTCAAAGTAAATCGGGAATCTTTTTTATAGGCTGGAATTATATTTGCTATCTTTAGATCAAGAGTTCATAATCAACTAAATCACGAGAATATTTTAGTCCTGTAGCAACCAGAGACACGAGAATGGTAGACATTTACTTTTAGCAATACTTGAATGTAAAGCTTTCCGCAAAACGCTTGTTTCTAACGTTTCAGTATGCATATAAACAGCTAAAAAAGTAAAGCCGGAACTTCAGTTTGTTCAGTTTGACGTCTGAATCCCAGTTATATTTGAATATTGTGTCTAGGAATTATAATTGGCCGTTTCTTTCTCTTGAAAAGACGTCATAAATGAAGTAATGTTGACGTCAGTTTAAGCTTGACTGAAATTGTTTTGTCAACTACTCAACGTGTTACGCATGCAGGGACGAAACTACCTCCTTTTAAACGAAACTACCGCCTTTTTTTTTTTTTTTTGGGGGGGGGGGCTATCAGGTAGAATTATGATGCCCTGCAACGCTACACAGTAGGTAAAAATTTATCTAATGTATACACGAACTCTCAAAGTGCATTTACGCGAACTCCTTGTGGCTGGTAGCTATAATTAGAACTCTTGTGTAGAGATTATAGTTATATTTCCAAGCTAACTAGGACAAATATAACAAGGAGGAATAACGCCCCCCATATCCCCCCCCCCCCCTTAAGTTTCGCTTCTGGTGTGCCTAGGTCAGTGACTATGGTTCAGCGTTAGCTGCTACATAATGTTGACGTCAGTTTAAGTTTGACGAAACTGTTTTGTCAATAACAAGAGAGTATATAAAAAGTCAAACGTTCAACGGTTCAAGATCGTTCGTGGCTGCTCGATTCCGAAATGGCAGTTTTATGTTTAATTTTGTACATCTTCGCCATAATTTTGGTTGGATGTTTTGGTTGGGTGGTATGTTTTATTGCGTACTTGCATTATCTGCACAAAATGAACGATCATTTACCAGGACCACCTCGTTCCAGTTTTATATTGGGTCATCTCCCAGAGATTCGGAAATACATGGCTGCTACTGGCAGAACATTGAGCGAATTTTTGCTGGAAAAACGGTTAGAATACGGACCAATATTTGTGATATTTTGTCTGCATAAACCTATGGTATTTCTGGGTGACTCGAACTATTTGAGACATGTCTTTATAAATAATCATAAGAACTTGCGTAAGAGTCCGTTTATCTATCATAAAATTGGTTTTATTTATGGCGAAAGAGGAGGTGGTTATGGATTGATAACTAATACAGATGAGTCGTCATGGCGGAAACGACGGCGTCTTATGAATCCAGCTTTCCATCGTAAGTGTCTGAGAGATTTCATGAGTAAATTCAATGATGTAAGTGATAGATTTTTAGCCCGTATGGACACAGTTGTCGAAAGTGGTAAGCCGACCAGCATGGTTGAAGAATTTGCGAAAGTCACTTTGGAAGCTATAAGTCAAGTATCGTTTAATATTAATACCCATGCTATCGAGGCTCCCAATTCCCCATTTCCAGCAGCAATACGGCACTATCTCAGGGGAATACAACACAACTTCGACATGCCATTGGATCCCAGCCTCCTTGCAATATTCCAGTTCAAGCTGTTTCAGAATGCTACTAAAAAAGAACAAATTGATGCAGCACGATTTCTTAGAAAATTTGCCTCCGATTGCATCACAGCTCGAATGAAGGACATTGCAGATGATAAAGCCGTCCCTGATGACCTATTGAGTCTGTTGATTAAAGATGGAAATGTATCAATGGATGAAATTATTGATGAATTCGTAACCATTTTCATTGCCGGTCAAGATACAACTGCAAACACATTGTCATTTGCTTTACATGGGATCATTAGTAACCCCGAGGTTGAAGTGAAACTTTTAAATGAAGTTAATGAAGTGCTCGGTGATCGTGATGATGTTGATTTTGATGATATGGCAAAACTGAAATATCTTGGCCAAGTTTTAGAGGAAACTTTAAGAAAATATCCTGTTGTACAAGCACCTTCAAGAATCTTAGGAAAAGATATTACAGTCGGAGGATATAATATTCCCAAAGGGAACGGAATTAACAGTTTACAACTCTTTTTTGGTATGAACCCAAACATTTGGAAAGACCCAGAAGTATTTGACCCAGAAAGATTTTCTGATGCTGAAAACATGACAAACTTTAGTATGACTCATTTCCCCTTTTCATTTGGCCCTCGTAATTGCATCGGACAGACTTTTGCAAAGTTTGAATCAAAAGTTATTCTTGCAAAATTGCTGCGGAAGTTTCAGTTTAGACTACTGCCTGGTCAAACTGATAGGATAAAAGCAAGAATCAATAGTACTCCTCGAGATGGTGTCATGTGTGACATCACCAGACGTGATTAAAATCGTGACTTTGGGAGACTTTGGGATGTTAACTTTCTTATTTACTAGTTAGAGCTACCATGCAAAACAATTTTGAGTTGGTTCAGGACAACCAGTTTAAAATAGATATATGTTTGTTTATTATATTAAAATAACTAAAAAAACTACCCATCACAATCAGGTACTTTAAAGCCGGTTACAGACGAGCAAGTTTTCTATGACAAGTTTTTATTTGCTCGTCCGTACGCGCAACTTTCTATGACTATGACAAGTGCACTTGCAAAAGCTATAGGATGCTAACTTTTGAACAAGTGCACTTGAGTCATGGAAAAAATTGTCAAAGCACAAATTTTGTTCGTCTGTATGGGTCAACAAAGAAAACTTGTCAAAGTAATCTGAGCATTTGATGTGATTGGCTAG